GTGCCCTGGTTTACTGGTTTACTGTAACGTTTCCTGAAAGTCCCTGTTGTCTTGGGATGAGCCAGCCAATGTAGCATTTGTCCTGTCCCCTTTTTCTCTCAAAACTCTGATTTGGTTGATTAATTATACGGTTCTACTGGTTCTTTCCTTGCATCATTTAAAATACTCAAGTTTGGGGCTCTTGGGTGGCTCAATCAGGTAAGCATCTGACTTTGGCTCGGGTCTCGATCTCACGGTTTGTGATTTTGAGCCCCGCCTCAGGCTCTGTGCTGACAGTGTGGGCAGCCTGCTTCGGATTCTGTTTGTCTCTTTCTCTCTCTGCCCCTCCCCCGCTTATGCATGCACTCACACTCTCTCTCTCTCTCTCTCTCTCAAAAATAAACATTAAAATAAGTAAAATATTCAAGTTAGTCTCATCTCTCCCACCTAAAAGCACACACACTTCTCCAGTCTGAACCTCCTTCCAGCTCCAATCTTTCTCCTTCCTATCCTTACAACTAAGCTTTTGAAAAAGGGATCCATACGCTATTTCTACGTCACTGTGCCGTAAACTTCTTCTCCTCACCTCACAGTACCACAGGCCCCTCGCTTCTGCTCTGACTACTCCTTGAAACTACCAGTGACCTGCGAACCACCCAATCCCTGGACGCTTCTCTGTCTTTGTCTTAGCCGGTGGGCACCGCTATAAGAGGACCACAGACTGGGTGGCTGATGAACAACAGAAATGTACTTCTCTCAGTTCTGGAGCCTGGGAGTCTGAGGTCAAGATGCCAGCTCGGTTGGGTTCCAGTGAGAGCCTTCTCCTGGGTTGTAGACGAGCCAACTTGTCGTATAAATCATTAAAAGGGACTGACCCAGTTCTATGGCCTCCTGTTGTAAGGACACTAATCCTACCATGAGGGCTCCACTCTCAGGACCTAATGACCTCCCAAAGGTCCCACCCGAAAGTCCATCACATGTGGGATTAGATGAATTTGGGGGGAGGACATTCATTCCATAAGCCTTTCCTTTGCTTCATATATTGACAACACTGTACCCAGTTGCGTGTTCCCCCCTCCCAGCTCACCTCTTGTCTTCTGTGACACCACCTCCTGTTTTTCTCCTACATTCTGGCTTTTTCTCAGTGGGCCTTGTAACCTCTTCCTCTGCTTGCACCTAAATGCTCACGTCTCTGTCCTTGCACACTCTCCCTGAGTAACCACACCCCGTGAATTCTACTACAATCAACTTGATAAGGGCTCCCAAACTCATTCATTCATTAAAAAAAAATGTATGGATCACCCACAAAGTGCCAGTCACTGCTTCAGATTCTGGGATATATCCGTGAACAAAATGGAGGGGAGAATCATAGATGGGTAAACCATAGACAAAATAAGTAAACTGGACAGTATGTTAGAGGGTGAGAAGTGATAAAGAAGAGAGTAATGGGGGGGGGGCACCTGGGTGGCTCAGTCGGTTGAATGTCTGACTTCGGCTGAGGTCGTGAACTTGCAGTTTGTGAGTTCAAGCCCAACGTCGGGCTCTGTGCTGACAGCTCAGAGCCTGGAGCCTGCTTCAGATTCTGTGTCTCCCGCTCCCTCTGTTCCTTCCCTGCTCGCAGTCTGTCTCTCAAAAAGAGCTCATTCAAAATGGGTAAAAGCAAAATGCATAGATAATTTACAGAAGAAGAAATAGAATCAGGTAATAAATATAAAATACTCAATTTCATTAATGAAAAAATGTTTTGTCCTTAAATTAGGAAAGACTTTTAAAAATTTTTAATGTTTATTTATTTTTGAGAGAGAGAGAGAGAGAGAGAGAGAGAGAGAGAGAGAGAGAGCAGGGGAGTGGCAGAGAGAGAGGGAGACACAGAATCCGAAGCAGGCTCTAGGCTCTGAGCTGTCCGCAGAGTCCAATGTGGGGATCGAACCCATGATCTGCGAGATCATGACCTGAGCCGAAGTCAGACACGGAACTGACTGAGCCACCCAGGAGTCCCAGGAAAGACTTTTTTTTAAATGCTAGGTTATGTGGGATGGGACAGAAACCTACTTGTTAGAGGCAAACGTACACATTGACACAATGCCAGGAGGAACAAGGAGCCTTAAAATAATATCTTAAAAAGATGTCATCTGAAATGTGGGTGAAGTTTTAGGCGTAGAAGTGCTAATAATATTTGTTATACTGGAAAAATGGAAACAACCCATATGTCCAATAATAGGGGACCAGGTAAGAAATTATAATATGAACAAATGATTAAATGATTAAAAGATATTTTCTAAGACTGCTAAGTAAATGTGAAATGCTTATGTTAGGTGAAATAAATGGATGTAAACTCCTATTTGTAGTATGTTTGCGAAATTTTTTAATGAAAATGCCAAAAAGAAAGTATATAGTTTTTTTGTGGTATGATTTCGTTTCTTCTTTATATTTTTCTATACTTTCCAAATTCCTTTTTATCATCATGTATTACTTTTGTAGTCAGAAAAAAAAAATTCATCCCTAGAGTTTTCCAGATAAAATCCAAATTCCTTAGCATAGCACATGATGATCTGGTCTGTTTTCTGATCGCCTTCTCCCCATTTCCCAGTCCTAACTCTCTTAGGGTCATGCCACATTGCTTGCATTTTCCTAATCATGATGTCATCACTATCTGGGGAGTGTTTGTTTTAATTACTTAACTTATTTTTGCCTAGGTGTTCTCAAATGCCATTCTTGCCCTCTGGCCTTCCTAATAGGCCTGTTTGATTTCAAGTTCCAGCCCTGTGTTTTCAAAGGATGACCTTCCCTGGGACGCCTTGGGCTTGGTCAGATACCTCCTGCTTTGTGCGGCCACGACTCTGTGATTCCTTTCTCTGGTTACACGGAAATGCAAGCTGGGTGACCAACGATCCTGGTCTGCCCTACCCTAATCCTAATTCTATGCTTACCCCTTCACATCTTAAACTAGGAGTACCTTGACTTAACAGGCCCTTTACATCATCTTTTTTTTTTTTTTTAATTTTATTCTTTCCATTCTGCACATTGTCTCTCTTATGATTTTTACCCACCTTAGTCTTGAGTTTATTAGGGGATAGTAGACACCAAGCAAGTGGAAGGGTCACTGGACCTATGGAACAGGTGATAGAACAGCTCTCACTGTGGTGAGATGGGAAGGTGCTAAAAAGTTACTCAAAACGCTGTTATAGGCTTGATTGTGAGGTTCCCCCTGTAGGTCAAAGCATTTTGGTAATTGAAGGAACAGCACCTGAGTTAGTGCCGTGTGTTAGGATGGTTTTATTTATCCCTCCCTTTAGCGCACATTGTAGCTTTGAACAGTTGTTTAAATACTGTTTAAGATTGCAATCTGTCCCATTTCAGTGCTTCATTCCCACCTTCCCTACCCTGCTCCACTTCTCCTATTTTCTGTTAACACTTACCATCATCTACATGCTGCTAAATGTATTCCTTTATTAGAGCTATAGTTTACAGTTGGCTCCACGCCATCACCGGACAGGGATCTTTGTTTTGTTCATCGATTTAACAAAGTACCTACCAAAGTGCCTGGCACAAAATAGATGCTCAGTTAAAGATTTGTTGAATAAATAGATCTGCTTAAATTAGGGGGTTAACTCATTATAATTCTCTAACCACAAAATGAAAATGTTAGGATATCAGCAGAGACCTTTTACTACCCTTTTTTTCTTTCTTTCATTATTATTGTTTAATGTTTATTTATATTTGAGAGAGAGAGAGAGAGTGTGTGTGAGCAGGGAAGGGGCAGAGAGAGAGGGAGACACAGAATCTGAACCAGGCTCCAGGCTCTGAACTGTCAGCACAAAGCCCAACATGGGGCTTGAACTCATGAGCTGTGAGATCATGACCTGAGCCAAAGTCGGATGCTTAAAAGGCTGAGCCACCCAAGTGCCCCATCTTTCTTTCTTTTTAAAAATTTGCTGCCCTGGGGCCCCTCGCACCTTTCCCCCAGGTACCCAGAGGCAGGGCACCTGCTGGCAGAGCACAAGAGGTCAATCCGTGGGGCTGCGGCTGGTACTGCAGCGACCCCACCCGTGTGCCCTGAACGCTGCCAGCCATTTACCACCCCAGAAGTTGGGGATTCTGCCTACAGGGTGGCATTTTATGTGAATCAGTGTGCCCCTTCTACTACCCTTCTTAAAGATGAAAAGCTGGACACCCCTAGTAACAACCAATTATTACTTTAACAATTTCTTTCAGTAAAATGTAGAGAGCAGGGGCACCTGGCTGGTCTAGTCAGTGGAGCACGTGACTCTTTTTAAAAAAAAAATTTTTTTTTTCAACGTTTATTTTTGGGACAGAGAGAGACAGAGCATGAACGGGGGAGGGGCAGAGAGAGAGGGAGACACAGAATCGGAAACAGGCTCCAGGCTCTGAGCCGTCAGCCCAGAGCCTGACGCGGGGTTCGAACTCACGGACCACAAGATCGTGACCTGGCTGAAGTCGGTCGCTTAACCGACTGGGCCACCCAGGCGCCCCTGGAGCACCTGACTCTTGATCTTGGTGTTATAAATTCAAGCTCCACATTGGGTGTAGACATTACTTAAAAATAAAATCTTTAAAAAAATGTAGGGAGTAGGTAGGCATAGTTTCTAAAAGAATTTCTAACAAGAAATCTACACATTACACACCCTCCTTCCTTATTGCTACATGTAAACATTCTGGGAAAGGGGCACACAGAATTTGGGGACATTTGCCCAAGAACCACCAAGATCACAGCCTGCTAATTCTGTTTTCCACAAGAAGAAAATATCGTTCTTTCTTGTCCTAGGAGTATTCAGGGGTCATGGTGAGTAGTAGGGACCCCTAAAGACTCCCCACACTGTTTAGAGACAGTAGTGTTTCTCTGATTTGCATAATACACTGTGGTAGCCAACCTCTAACATGACCCCACAATGATCCTTGCTTCCTGGTACTCACATCTTTGTGTGGTCCCTCCCATAGTGAATCACAGTTATCTTTGTAACCAATAGAACACTGCAGAAGTGCCAGTGTGTGTCTTGCAGGGATCCTTCATAAAAGGCATCACCGCATCTGTGCTGGTCTCTTGGATCTCCAGCTCTTGGGGAAGCAAGCCACTATGGTGTGGGGACATTAAAGCATCTTATGGGAGAAACCCACTCAGAGAGGAACTTAGGCCAAAAGGCAGAACCACTTTGCTAACCATGGAAGTGAACCACCTGGGAAGCCGATTCTCCAGCACCAGTCAAGCCTTCAGATGACCACAGCCCCAGCAACTTTACGGGAGACCCTGAACCAGAACCTAGCCCCCAAGTTCCTGACTCACAGAAATTGTTAAGACATAATAAATACTTATTGATGTCTTAAAGTGTTGGAGTGGGGTGCCTGGGTGGCTCAGTTGGTTAAGTGTTCAACTCTTGGTTTCAGCTCAGGTCCTAATCTCACCCGTTGTGGGATCAAGCCCTGTCTGGTTCTGCCTGGAGCCAGCTTGGGATTCTCTCTCTCCCCCTCTCTCTCTGGCCCTCCCCTGCTTGCATGCACTCTCTCAAAATAAATAAACATTTTAAAACAAATAAAAGTTTTGGAATAATTTGTTAGGTAGCAATAGGTTAGCTAAAAAATATACAAATCCCTTTAAAGGGAAAAAGATATTTCACACCCCACATTCATTAAATTTTTTTTTTAATTTTTTTTTAACGTTTATTTATTTTTTTGGGACAGAGAGAGACAGAGCATGAACGGGGGAGGGGCAGAGAGAGAGGGAGACACAGAATCGGAAACAGGCTCCAGGCTCTGAGCCATCAGCCCAGAGCC